GGGAAAGAGAGAGAAACATCAGTATGTGTTTGCCTCTTGCACACCCCCTACTGGGGACCTGACCCGCAACCCAGGCATGTGCCCTAACTGGGAATCAAACCAGTGACCATTTTGTTTGCGGGCTGGCACTGAATACACTGAGCCACAACAGCAAGGGCTGTTTAATAATTTTAAAGATTGTTTTCCACTTTGTTATTACTGGGTCTGAGTAGTTTTCATTCAAAAGGTCTGTCAATCTTCTACAAAGCTTACATAACTCTGAAGATTCTGCCGAAGCATTATTTGGTTTTTTACCTCTGAGCTATATAAACATAATATTCCCAGTTATGTGTGAGCTTTGTTGATTGCTTTGCCTACTGCTTTCCTGGGCCCTGAGTCACCTCTGGGAATGTTTAAGCTTATAGATTCCTGTTCTTTTTCTGAAAGTTATTCTGGGTCTGGCTTCATGAAATTGTACCCCACACTTGCATAGGTTGATAATCATGAAAAGAGTCAAAGAAACTCTATAAAAATATCTTGAGCTCTTCCTCATACTCCTGTTTTCTCTGGTACACTGTTCTCAAAATTCAAACTGCTTTATTCTACATGAACTTCAATCTCTGTCTTCCCACCTCAGAGTGACATAAGACCAACCTTGCTTTACAAACCCTGACCTGCTTTGCATCCTCAGGATCTTTGCTCCATTCTTGAAGCTGGAAAGCTAAGAAATCATGGGGCTCACCTTGTCTGCTTCCATTCTCTCAGGGATCACAGCCCTGTTCTACCTTTTTCTCATTTGTGAAAATAATTGTATAATTGTGTTTAGTTTTATAGTTATGTATGGAAATGGATGCTGGCTTTTGTCTGTGGCACATGTCTTCACAGGCTAGCCAAAGTTTCTTTGCATTGTGACTAATTTACAAAAGTAACAAATAAGAAAAGGCAAATCCTAAAATGCAAGCACTCTTTAAGCCTCTTGGGTCATTTTTGCTACTATCCCATTGGCCTTTGCAAATCACATGGTGAAGCTCAGAGTTAATGAATGAAAGATTACACAAGAAAATGGATAGGGAGCATGGTAATTTATTAGGGGCCATTATAATATCAATCACACAAAGTTTATGATCAATTACAACAGCTGAGTAACCAGTAGCAGGGGTTGTTATTAATGTGCTCCAAAAAAGAGATCACATCCGGAACAACAGCTGCAGTGGAAGACGCCACTTGGTATAATGTATACCAATTTACTTTTTTCTTCCAACACCCATCTCTCTTTAGCAGGCATTGAAAAGAGTTAAATGAAGGTGTAATGGGAATTCCCACTTCTGCATTTTCAAATTTTTATTGAATTTATTGGGACGACATTGGTTTGCAAAACCATGTAGGTCTCAAGGGTGCAACTCAATAAAGCATCAGTAAAACACTGCGTCATGTGCCCATCATACCCCGGCAAGGTATCTTTCTGTCCCAGTCTGCCTTTTCGACCACCTCACCCTACCTGCCCCTCACTTCCTTTTCCCTCTGGCTATCACCACACTGTTGTCTCTGCCTGTGTGTGCGCGCGTATCCCTTCACCTTTCATCCAGTCCCTCAACAGCCCTCCCCTCTGACAAATGTCAATCTGTTCCATGTGTCCATGACTCTGTTTCTGATTTGTTTGTCAGTTTATTTTGTTCATTCGATTTAACATAAAAGTGAAATCATACAGTATTTGTCTTTCTCTGACTGGCCTAAGTCACTTAGCATAATAACCTCCAGGGCCATCCATGCTGTTGCCAAAGGTAAGATTTCCTTTTGCAACTGATGTTCAGACTTTTGAGGGTGGCAATAATCTCTTCAATACCACAAAGGATGTAGTTTTGCATCTGGCTTATAACTTTTATAAAACAATCCATGGCCTTTCAATATTCATTCCTAGTACCACAACACTCACTCCCAATATCAAGGAGCAAAGGAGAGATGCTCCCATTTGTGGAATGTAATTATTTTAACTATGAATATATAGGAAGAAACTAGGAATATATATGAAAACAAGATGGGCTTATGGACCCCCTAGAGCCATGGAACTACAGGCTTAGGTCAAAACCCACTTCTTACCTAAACACAATGTGTATTCATTTTGAGCAGTAAGTGGATCCCAGTGCCATGATGGATTCAAAGCCTCAGCATTAACATGAGATTGAAGTGCTGTACAACAATCCGTAGGATTCCCGCGGGAAGATTTAGGGCACGCATTTATGTTTTTATCATACGGATGTTCTTCCAGATTCAATTGCTGCCTTTTATTTCAGGAACTCTGATTCTGCAATTAGTCCCCAATCTTGGAATGGAACAAATTCAGTGACTTTATTACAATGGCTCAAGTGAGGCTTATTCTCCAAAGAACTAGATTTTTTTTTCTTTTGTTAAAATGTACATAACATAAATTTTACCCTTTTATCTACTTTAAAGTCAATGGTATCATGTACATTCACATTATTTTTGCACCATTAGTACCATTCATCTCCAGAAATTTTGTCATCTTTCCAAGCTGAAATTTCATATCCGCTAATGATAACGATCAATTTCTCCCTCAAACAGCCCCTCTTAACTACCATTCTACCTTCTGCCTCTGTGAATTGGATGGTGGGTACACCTCACATAAGTGAAGGCTTAGGTCTTCTCAGGTATTTTCTGGGCACAACTTTTCCTTGAGCCTGTGCGTGTGTGTTTCTCCCCTGACTCTATTTTGTGTATGTATGTATGTATGTATGTATGCATGCATGCATGCATGTATTTTTTTGTTGTTCAGTTACAGTTGTCCCCATTTTTCCCCCATTACTCTCCCTTGCCCTGCCACTCCCCACCTTCCATTTTCAATATTCCCCCACCGTTGTTTTTGTCCATAGGTTCTTTATACACATTCTTTGGCTTGACCCTTCTACTTCTTTGCCCCATTATCCCCCTCCCTTCTCCCCTCTGGTTTCTGTCAGTTTGCTCTTTATTTCCATGCCCCTGGTTCAATTTTGCTCCTTTGTTTCGTTAATTAGGTTCCGCTTACAGGTGGGATCATATGGCATTTGTTTTTCACCTCCTGGCTTATTTCACTGAGCATAATGCTCTCTAGTTCCATCCATGCTGTCATGAAGGATAGGGGTTCCTTCTTTCTGCTGTGTAGTATTCCATTGTGTAAATGTACCACAGTTTTTGTACAGCTGCTTCTAAATGTCTTAATTTTTCTCAGGGTCTTACCCTTGCTTTTTCTCAGGGCTTTAGTAATCTCTTACCCCAGACATCTGTGGGTCTGTGTTTCCCTTGTAATGCCAGTTGCTTCCCATAGCTTCTCTTAGCATGAAACTTGAATGTACCATTTTTTAGCATCTGAACTCTAAAGGAGGTATCAAAGTCCAATCACACAGGCAGCACCTGTGTAGACAAGTTAGAGTGTCACAAATTCTGTTTGTTGTGCTCTCTCTAGTCCCTGTAAAGGGACTGGAGACTGAATTGCTCTTTTCCCCACACCATATTGCCCATGCTAAGAAAGGAGTAGAATGAGAGTGAGGAAAAACACCACAAAATTTCCTGCCTTTTTGAAAGGGGCTTTTTATTCTTTGTGCATTGCCTTGGTTGCTGTAGATCTTTGACCAATTTGTAGAACTATTATGAAGTTACTGTAGTCGGTCTCCAGTTGTTTATTCAATGTTTCCATGGGGAAGGAGAGCTTGGAGCTTCATATCTGCCATCTTGCTGGTATCATTCTTTCTAGACTTAGATATAAATTATTGTAACTGTTAATTCAGATCAAATAGAATTTAATTAGCCCTCCTCTCTATATTGCTCATAGAAGCTCTGTAATCAATTAGTTCATTAAAAATGGATTTAATTTTATCAGTCTCAATTACTTTTCCAGACTACTGCTTCTTACAGTAAACTGCGGAATTCTTCCATGGGCAGGTAATGTTGCTACTGTCTGCCCTCCCATCATTTCATTCAGCATCTTTCCCCTTCATCTCTGTAGGACAGAAAACAGCTATTAGAGTTATTTTAAAGAATTCTTACTCTCCTTTCCTCAGCAGACTTCTCGGTACCTCGACGAAGGGACTGTCTTCAAGCGGCACTGGGATAACCTTTAGAGGATGTTTAAGAAGGTAGTATGATAAATCCACTTAACATTGTCTTCTTACGTGGGTTTGGATTCCTAACTCTATGTTTCACCAAGAGCTTTGTGGCATCACATCTTAATCTCATGTCATCCATGGTAGGACTTTGTCAGCTGCTTCAGATAGAATGTTGCATTCAGAATATGTGGCCACAGACCGATAAAATCACCAGAATAAAAACAAAATTATGTTCATCCTTCTCTGGTAAAGTGCCATAGAAATTTAACTTGGTTTTTGCCTAGTTAAAATTATAAATATGTTGCCTTCATTTTGATTTTGTAGTGGGTCCTTAATAAAAACCTCTTGGTCTTTATGTGAGAGAAAAATTAAGCTTGTTTATTATTTACAGTTATGTGGGTTATCTGTCACTCTCATATGAACCTAATATAATTTCTTATAAAATTTCTACATAAAACACACTTGCCATTATTTGTAAAAATTTCTCAAGTGATTACATTAAATTTTGAAAGCCAATTTTTAAACTTTAAGTGTTGTTAAAAATAAACTAAATTACCTTAAAATATAAATCTCATATTTTTAACATGACTGATTCTTTTAAATTCTTCAAATATTAAAGTATGTTCAAAATTGCAATAACAAGTATTACAAATTTACTCTTTTACTTAGAATTCTTTTACTTAAAACTATTCTGAAACTCAACACCTTGAAATTAATTAATTCTGCCTATGACTTTTAATCCTGTTGTTAAAATGTTGCTGTATTTATAGCCATAATTATTTTTATATCCTCTAAGACATTCATAATATCATTTCAATATTTTTGTAGGGTTTCAAGAAAATAAGGTAACTCTCAGGCTCACCTGGGTTATCTATCAGATACAGAATATCTTTCACTGGGCTTTTTTTTTTTTCCCCAATTAGAGGTCTCAGCTTGAGAGTCAGATCCGAGCCTCAGATACCTTACTCACAGCAACCATGTCCCTTTGAGATTGGCTGTAGGATGTCAACCACATGTCCTCCCCAGGCTCACCAAGAAGCACAGACCTGGGACATCACCTGGTGTCAGCTGTCCTTTGCCCATCAAAACACTACGGGAGCCTGATGGGAGCAAGGCAGCTGGACCGTTGGGCTTTTCATGATGACATACATTCTTAGAGGTGTAATCATACTTTCTCTGTATTAGAAAAGGTTTCATGTACTACAACATTGCAATCTCTTCTACAGTGTATCTTCCTATTTTTCCTATTTTTTTTTGTCTTGCCCAAATACTGAATTATGATTATGAGGACAAAATTAACCATTTAGTGCCTGTTTTGTAGACTGCCCTCTTCCTATATGACATCAAATGGAGGTTAATCTCTCAATTCTTATCCATTTGCATAGAAAAAATTATATAATTTTTTAACAATTTATGTTTTTGCTTATAAACTTTTGACTCACTGTAACTTACAAAGGTTTTAGGTAGAAATTCACATGACATGAAGAAAAAATTCAAGTTTTTCCAATAACATGGCAGGTATTGTAAACTGTTTAAATCTATGCCCACTTTCAGTAAATGAGAAAAACAAAAAGAAAATTCTAAATTATTTTAATAACATCTTAAATTCCACAATGAGTGATACGACTAAAAAATTACTAGTTTAGAAATATTTTTCTCCCTAGTTTCAGATTTTAAAACACTTTAAGAGGAATGTAGGTCATATCCTCCTTCTTAGAATTGCTGCCTTAAAATGTGTAAAGGCTGCTTTCATATCTCTGGAAATGTTTCATTTTTTTTCCCCTCCAGGGTGATACCCACGGTTCTTTCAAGCATTCTGAAAGGTTTTAAGTATCATTCTTGTCCTAAGATTTAAAGGTACACTGCAAATACACTCTTTTCTTTTTGTGAAAAAGAAAACAAATACACTTTGTATTAAAATTTACCCTGAAATCTGCCATGAAGTCTTAAGGCAAATATAAACATTTAAAGCCTGAGTACTAGGCAAGATTTGGACCATTCTACAAGGAAAAACAATTAAATGCTATGTGAAAGAATGGAATATCTTTGTGAGAAAGTGTAGAACGAGAAAAGTAAGTTGAGAAATGTGTCCTAAAGAATTGAGAAAAAACTCTGAAGGACAGGTTGAAAAGAAGGAACATATCACGTAAACAAAGATGGAAATTGCATTTCAAACAGGAAGGTGTGTTCAGAAAACTTAAATGCAGAACTATGCATACTTAAGTGTACTTGTAAAGTTGACATTTGGTGTCAAGTTGCCATTAAGTTGAACATGGGAGGGGAAGGGAGGGGAGAGACAGAAGAAAGAAAGAAAGAAAGAAAGAAAGAAAGAAAGAAAGAAAGAAAGAAAGAAAGAAAGAAAGAAAGAAAGAGAGAGAGAGAGAGAGAGAAAGAAAGAAAGAAAGAAAGAGAGAGAGAGAGAGAAAGAAAGAAAGAAAGAAAGAAAGGAAGAGAGAGAGAGAGAAAGAAAGAAAGAAAGAGAGAGAAAAAGAGAGAGAAAGAGAGAGAGAGAGAGAGAGAGAGAGAGAGGAAGAAAAAAGAAAAAAGAAAATCCATTTGTATCCATTTACTTTTATTTCTGATACATTTAATCCCACATCCACCCCAGCCCCAGACAAAATATACTTAATATTTTGCTGTCAGTTGTTTGTTCCAGAGCCAAATCTTATGCCCCTGCTTTCATTTTTAGGTATTCTAACAGATGGAGATCTTTCTATTTTTCTTTTTGTTAATTGAAAGATGATATTCAGATTTCTCTCCTAATGATTCATGTACCAGGAGCATTTCCATTATTAGAAAACAAAGAAATAGAAACACTATTGTTCTTAAGCAAGAAATGTTTTATTATTTCATTTATGAAATATGTATTGAATATATTTAAATGTATATAATTTTTAGACTCAAATATACATATACTTTTGTAACTGCAATTCTAGTGAAAAACTATTCACTCAATATTAATGAAGAAAATAAAAATAAGATCTTTGATTTTTCCATAGTTAAAAACTTCATTATAATTTTGTTTATGGGATCTGTCATAATTAATAATAATAATATACCATGAATTTGTCTAGCTAAACAGATTTTGTAATCAAGTTACTTACATTTATATGTAAATCCTTAGCTTCAAAAAGCAACCCTGGAGATCATTAAGACCAAACTATTCATTTTCAAGAATAAATTAAATAAAAAAAAAGAACATGGAAAATACTGTGTTCTGTGCCTCTTAGTAACTAAATTGTAAACTGGCCTGACACATCGCTCCTTGTACTCCAAATTTTGTGATTTTTCACTGCAAGTGACACCAATAATATAAACAAATTTGTGATTTTTTTTTGGTTACTACACAAATGTTCATTTGATGACTCAGCAAAACCTTAATTCTACCATCCTATTTTAGAGATAGATAAATTAAGATTTACAAAAAAGAAGCTAACAATTTAATCAATTATAATAAAATGGAAACAAAAATGCATGGGGGTTGACTTTATTTGCTAGAGCACTTTTCATCGACAAAATGGTTTTAATTACAGAGGAGCAGTTTCAAAAGAATGGAAATATTTAAATGATGCACTTGTTTTTCTACACCTGCTAACAGGTGCTAATATTTGTTTGGATTTTCTGAATAAAGATTTCTGTGGCCAAAGTCTCATTATCATAAAACCCAAGATCAAAAAGACTATGAAATATTGAGGCTGATTTAGTTTTCAGATGCAAAGCAGCAGCTGGATTAAAGCACAAGGCTACTGGAAAAACCCTGAGAGAAACAACTGACATCTCTAGTCATGGGATGTGCTCTCAGACAATGCGCAGACTGATTGGACACACGAAAATGGAACATTCATCATGTTCTTATTCTAATAAGTTTCATCTCAGAAAACTGATGTGTGGCAAGCTGCAGCAGGTTATTCTTTTACTCAACAAAGAAAAAAAGAAGGTAATTGATACTTGGAAGTCATAGGTAGAAATAAATTGCTTTTGCTGAGATTATACTTTTTAAATAACAGCATTTATACAAGTTTTTAGTCCAAGTAAAGTTTTTCTACAACATTTTGTGTATATATATATGAAGATATATGCATATATGTATATAAATATGTGTGTGTGTATTCACTTATAGAAAAGAAGAAAAAAGGAAGGAATGAAGGAAGGAAGGAAAGAAGGAAGGAAGGGAGGGAGGAAGGAAGGAAGGAAGGAAGGAAAAAAAGAAGGAAAATCACAAAACCAGTCATTGATATATTACCCTAATAATCTCACAAATGTTGTTTTTCATATTATATGTATTTTACTTTACAGAAGAGTGCAAATTCACAATAAAAACTGATTTACATATCCATATGTATCTGTAAGTTTATGGGAGGCAGCAAAGGGAAATCTGAGCTAATTTTGAAAATGTAAAACACCAAAGCAATTCAAACAAAGAATATTTTTTAAAAATGAGATGAGATTGATATACTCTCAGCTTTGATAAACATCCAATATAAGAAAAAACTATTGAAGGATAAATACATTATGTGACAAGAGTTACTAATTACACTCGCTGTTATAAAAATGCATTTTTTTTTACGACATGTTCATCATTGAATTCTAAGATTTTTTTTCTCTCAAAGCAGGGATAGTTCTATTAAGCTATGGAATATCCTAGGGAAAAAAAATTACACATTTTGTTTGTAGAGAGAGAGAAAGAAAAGAAGAAGGAGAAGGAGGAAGGAGAAAGAGGAGGAGGGGGAGGGGGAGGGGGAAAGGAAGGAAGAGAAAACAAAGCTGTTCAATGTAATGCCAGACTCCAGTGTTGTTGTTTTCCCTCCCCCCTCCTCCCCTCCCTCTCCCTCCCTCCTCTGCCCTCTCCCCTCCTCTCCCTTCTCTTCCTCCTGTTCTTCTTCTTCCTCCTCTTCTTGTTCCTCCTCCTCCTCTTCCTCCTCCTTCTTTCTTCTCTTTTAATTTAAAATAAGATAACCAAAGGATGGTTTATATAAGGAAGTAAGGTAAGTTTAGTATGTGAGAAATACTATGATAGAATTGTACAGCAAGGAGGAAGAAGATTGGCCAAATACAACAGCTATAATTGCTAAAATTTTAATGGGTATATATGAGGGTAGGATAAGTATCAATTATTTTTACTAGCATTGATTAATAATATGAGGACCACAATAAAGAAGATTGACTTAGAGGCTATTCCTAAATTTTATAAGCATAAGATTGTCTTTTTTTTTCCTTCATTAGCTATTGTATTCATGCTCCAAATAATACTTAGTAATTGTTTTTGCATTATTTCTTAAATACATATTTTAAAACATTAAATAGTATGTAGTCTTTATAGGAAAAATAGAAAATGCTATGAAGTGCAGGTTTTTAAATAAAATTACTAATTAACCACCTACAGAGTATCACTATTAAAATGTGTTTGCATACCTCCACAGCTATTATTCTCTTCAATTAGCAATGATTAAAAGTCCACATAGTAAATACCCTGTTTTCCTCTATTTAATTTTTTCCTCACTTGTAATTTTTTTAAGTTACCTTCACCATAAACTAATAATATGTAAAAACCTTTGAAGCTGTGGCTGGCCATAAATAGCATACTTTGATCAAACAATGAATATTTTTTGAAAAACTATACACATATCTCAGTTATTTTTCTATGCCAGGGTTATCCAGTAGAAATAAAATGTAAATACAGCCACATTAAAAAAGAAGAAAGATTTCAAATAAACAATCTAATCTTATATCTCAAGTAACTAGAAAAAGAACAAACTAAAGGAAATGTAGAATAGAAAAACAATTAAAAATTAATTAAACTAAGCTTTTAAAAAATAAACAAAAATGACAAACCCTTAGGTAGACTAATCAGAAAACAAAACGAGGAGATTCAAAATCATAAACAGAGTGGGGAAACATTACAAATGACACCACAGAAATTAAAAAGATCATAAAGGAATATGGAAAAAAAATTACATGCCAATAAATTGAACAACCTAGAATAAATGAATAAGTTCCTAAAACATAAAATTTACTAAGACTGAATCATGAAGAAATAGAATCTCTGAACAGACCAATAACAAATGAGGTGATTGAATAAGTAATCTAAAATTTCCCAACAAAAAAAAGTCTAGGACTAGATAGATTCACAAGTGAATTCAATCAAGCATTTAAAGAATTAACACCAATACTT